TGCTTTTTTTCTGGGTTAGAGCTCTGTCTGTATTTGTAGTTAGGAATGTCATTTTTTTCTCCCTGAAGCGAACTAAATCTTTCCTCCCAGTGATAGGAGAGTGTGTTGTTTTTCTCTAGGAGTGCTGTGTTGTATGGTGAGAAATCTGTTAATATTATTTTATCAACACTGAAACCATTTCTTTTATGTCTTTGGAACTGATAATTTTAAGTTTCAGATAAACATCACTGGCACTACTCTTGTTTAAAATATTTCATCATAAATAGCAAGGCTGAGAAGTCCACACTCCACATTTTTGGTGGGCTTTTTTTTTTTTTTTTTTTTTTTTTGTCATCTGATTCTGTATCACTTCTCTGCATTCAGTTTTATGAGCTGCAGGAGCACAACCTGAAATTAGTAGCTCCTGGTTGCTCAATTCTTGCAGCGTTGTGCTGTACCTGCCCGGTGTACTGAGGGCTTGGGGTGTTATTTTATTTGATTATGGAGAGAGTGGTAGGAGGGGAAGAGATGATTGCCTCATCTTTGTGGTGTTTGGCTGCATTTCCTTTCTTTCTTTCTTTCTTTTTTTTTTTTTTTTGTTCTCTGCTTTTATTCATCAGTGACAATTTATAAACAGTACATGTTTCACAATGATTTCAGCCTTGAGTGCCAAACAACTGTATGATGTTGTTCCTTTGTTTGACAGCTTCCTGGCACTCAGCCACACGCACAGTAGTAATAAATACTCTTGTCCAGTGTATGTGTGCATTCTTTATTTGGTGTATGTTTTTACAATTGCATTAGAAATCTGTCTTCCTAAAAATGTGGTTCCAAAGATGTGTGGTTTAAGAAACAAATAACAAAAAATTCGCCAAACAACCAAACCTTGTGAAGCAATAAAAGTGCAGTAATTATAAACCATTCCTTCAGTATTGTGGAGCAAGGGATAGGGGCTGGGGAGAGAATTACTGCTGTTTTTCATTGGTTCCTGGTACATTTGCAAAATATGGAAAGGAATATGGTTTGTTGGCAGAGGGAAAAATCCCACTTGTTTCTCCAGTTGTTAATCATTTTCTATACAATAGTTTGCTTACATGTGCCCTAAACAATGGGCTTCCAGCAATGTATTTAGAACAGAAAAAAAGGTAAAGAACATTTGAAAAAACTACAGTAGATATTCTGCATTATCTGTGTTGAAGACAATTAGGAACACAAATGGCTTGAACTCAGGATATTGGCTTTTAACTGCATCTACAGCATTTGGTTGGAACAGGGCATCCTGCAGTATGAAGAAGCCGAGCGTCACTGCTGATTATACTCCTCCTGCTGCTGTTCTGTGCCTCCCCCTCTTTCCCCAGCAGAGAGACAGCTTGCTCTCATGATAGAGAAGCAGTGCAAATGCCAATAGAACACTGAATCGAAAGGCAGTGATTCATCAGCAGAATATGTTATTTATCCAAGCACAGGTTACATTTTTTTCTTTTTACCTGTGCTCTAAAACATCATTATTTGCTTTATAACCAATTTTATTACAGCTACTGAACAGAAAGCTAATTTTTAGGCTTGGCTCTTTGCTTATGTTCAGTTTCTCTTAACTTTCTTAGTGATGCTTTTATGTTGCTTTCTCACTTGGTGCAACACAACTGTATGTCGTTGGTCCAGTTTTTCTTCTAAGATGTCATAACGTCAGAAGTAGAAAATAATATAGGCTTTAACTTACACAGAAGTCAACAGAATCATCTGTCCTCAAATCTATAGAACGTAATTTCTGCTGTACTTTTACTGTGCAGCTAAACCTATAATTTTTGTCCCTTCAACCCACCTGTCCGGATCAGTATGCTGGTTCCATCTGAGCAGTTCCATCATGCCTGCTGTCAGTTACACTTGGGGATTTTTCCTGTCTGTGCTTGTCTTTGCTTTCTTCATTTCTTCTGTTTCTGAGTGTTTTGAGAACTGCCATTTTGTTTATATTTTGCAAATATATTGCTCTTAGTAGATGGGATACTGTTAGATGAGTTTTGTTCTAGCATGGATTTTTTTGCTTGTTTCTAGGACACTTGTGCTTTCAAAAGCAGTATCTCCTAAGCTTTTTTTTTTTTTAGGTATATGTTCTGAACAGGGGTGTGGTGCACTACCCTGAGTTTCCTTCTTGAAAGGACAGCTTACTGCAGACTTGGCCTAGAAGGTCAGAACAGTTGGTTGTCCTATTGCAGTGAAGGTGTTCTAATGCATTTCCTATTAGGATAATTTGTGGAGGATGGACAGTGGGGCAGTAAAATTCAATAGGAGGAAAAGCTTGAAGTGGGAGAAATGATAATCTCTTGATGGCCAACTTCAGAACAAACTTGAAACACTATGATTTAATAAACCTGGAGGAGCATGAGCCGAATGTTGAAACATCCAATGGTTAGCTCTGACAGAGTAAGGTTAAATGCAAAAGGAGTAAAAACTTGCTTGTTTCTATGTTATAACAATAGGTTCACATACAACGAAGGGGAACTTCCAACCACAAAAAGCAAATTCATGTGGACTTTTTTTGTGTCCAGTATTCTGTTATTGGAAGCATGTCCTTTTTACTAAAGCTTCTGAGATGTGCCGTGGATGCTTTTCAGAATGTGTTTGATCCCTGGTAGCGTGTACCATGCTGCTCAAGGCAAGAATCTGTAGATGTCACAGTCATCTTGCCACACATGATGAATCACTTTGCCTGAAGATTTTCTGCTCTTGAGGCCTTAAGGCTGGTTCTGTCTCCCCACGGATGTTTGGTTAGATTTGCCATCTGAGCTTACTGTTGTGTGACCAGTTTAGAAAGTACTAAATCCAAACTTTTCTCATGTTTCATTTCTATGTTTTGTTATCATATGAGTATATATGCAGACATCACTCCTAACGAAAAATCATGATTAAAAATAAGGCATGATAAGAATCAGTTTGGATTTAAAAAGGCAACATCTTTTTGAACTTCCTGTTGTTTTCTTGACTTTGTTTTACTTAATTTGTTACAAGAATCATATGATGTGATTGTAGCTGCAGGCTGCTGTCCACTGTTTTCCTGCCTTTTTTTCTTTATTGAAAAAAAAAAAAAATCCAACCAAACAAAAAAACCCCAAACTAAACCAACAGTATGTAAGTGTGTTCGTAGCTTTCTTGATGCTGTCACATTTGGATATTCTTTCATCGTACTGGCCTGTAAGACAGGATTAGTGGCAGCCTGAAACCAAAGGTTTAGAATGCTGTGCAGATAGCTGGTCAGCAGTGTCCTTTATTGGTTCCATTAATTTGATGTAGGGAGCCTTGGGGACCACACTAGGAGGATTTTTTTTAAATGTATTTGGATGTTTTAGTATTTAATGGTATTTGTGTTTTTCAAATAAGTCAAAATCTGTAGCAGGTAAATTTGAAATTCATATCCAGCTCTCCCATTTTCAAGTCCAGTGGCTAACAGTGTATGCATTGAACATTTTGTGATGGCAAGATGCATCTTTTCTATTGTTGCAAATTTATAAAAACAATATGTCAGCAATAAGACACAGGAAATGACAAAGCATAGCAAGTGGATTTTGAGCTTTTTCTTTTTTTCTTAATTGTTCTATTTATATTCCTGTCCTTCCTTCCTTTTTGCTTTTCGCTGTCCTCTGGACAATACGTATTCCAGCATTTTGCTTTGTTATTTTCCGTTCCCATGTGCTCAGGGCAGAGCAGCTCTCCTGCTCCCTTTGCATCCTGTTCAAGGCCTGCTGCCATTAGGTTCTGGAGGAATAGGTAGCTGCTTGCCTTCTCTGCTCCTCCCTCTAAGAAAACCCCTCTGTTCTTTGTGACCAGACGTTTGCAGTGACGTAAAAAGGGAATGAAAATGTAACTGTGAGTTGCTAGATGGCTGAATTTCATCTCTTTTTGAATAGCATTTTCTACTTAAGCTGCTTTTCTCCTTTCTGTCCTGTTGTCCTGCCATTTTTTGCTGAAATAAGCATCGTTGGAAGAGCTGCTGTTTGTTTTCAGCTTTGGAAGACAAATCTAAATATATTTCCATGCATTTTCTTTTTTCTCCTCCCTATTTTTTTTCCAGGGATGCTGATGTTTGTTTTTTTCTGCAATTATTGTTAAAAAAAAAAAAGAAAAAAAGAAAAAGAAAAAAAAAAAACAACAACCATGGAAAAACAGCAAGAAAGAACCTTTGTTCATTACCAAAAACTGCTCTAAGTAGCATAGGCACCACATGTATCGTAAACTGAAAATCCTTCTTTCTGTTGAGAATGTAAAAGGTACAGACTTTTCTGAGAAACAGCCCAGTAAGCATCGTAAGAACAAACAGCAAAACACTCCATATACCTTTATTTGGAAAAAAAAAAAAAAGGCAAAAAACCCCTCGAAATTCCAGTTCTTCTTTGCAGTGAGACTTTTACTGATGTGGGATACGGTCTTCGTCTTTTTTTGAATGCTTCTTTCTCGTTACAGATTCTGGTTTTGTTAACTTGTATACATCTGCAAGTTTGATGGTTGCAGGAAAACTGAATGTATGCCATCTGTGTCACTTTGAAGAAACTGCATTGAAACAAAAATTTTATTTAATACCTGAAAGCATAGCATGATTAGCTATAAAAATACTTATTTTTAAGTCAGAGGCAGTTATGTCTGCCCAAGATTTAATACTCTCTTTTTAAAGAGTACAGCTGTGAAGCTTGAATGGAAATTAGATTGATGCTAACAGCTGATGATAAAGGTATCTACTTAAGCAAAACATAAAGTGAATAGCTTTTATTGACCATGGGTAAAGCTGAATAATGTCAGTATAGATGGCTAGGTAATATGCTCTGATGAATTCATAGCTTGTATCTAAGCTTCAGAGAGTAAAATTTAGATATTCTTTTTTGGTTCTCTAGTACTTAAAGAACATTCCTAGCAGTGCTACAGCTTTTCTTTGGATTCGAATGCTTAAAAGAATGAATTTACTATGGTAGGCATATAATACAGAATTTTGGCTACTTTTTTTTTTTTATTTGCCATTTTAATTTTTGAATAAATGTTGTTAAGCTTTTAAAAATATTAAAATACTATCTTTCATTTGTAATGGTAACATTTACATTGAGAACATCTCACTGAACGATTTTTGCTCAAGAAGTCATAACATCCTTTCAGTCTAAGCTGTTAACAGTCAAAAGTTCCGAGACGTTTCTGTCTTTTGAAAATACTGATTTGTGGTACTGCAAGCAACTGCTTCCTACAGAAAGCGATTTCATTTTAGCCTTACAACCAGTCACCATTCCACTTACATGATGAAACCTTTCTCGTGACTGTTTTGCTCATTAACTTCTGGCTCTCTGTTTTCTGCAGTGGTGCTTGCCTAATTTTTGAGTGTATAAATCAAAGCTACTTCTTAAGAAGTAGATCTTAGTAATTTATACACTATATAGTTGTTAATTTTGTATCATGTTTTACTGTTTCTGTATATTTTGGGGGTAAGAATCGTGGTGCAAGCACATCTTTGCTGAAGCCCTTTGCTCTAGGAAATGTCTCAGATACTGTGCACTGTTTTGTTTACACATCGAAATTCCAATCCGACTCCCTAATTTATTTGAGTAAACTGATTAAAATCCGTTATTGTTCTCTTGATATCCTTAAACCTTTGTTATAATTTGTATTTCCTGCACAATTGGATCTCTGACTCATGTGTCATGTACTTCAATTAAAGGTTGTGTTCAGAAGTTCACTATGTTTTTCTTTCTGGTGCATTTCATGCTGTCTCTGTAGAAATATCCTTCGGAGCAGCTTTTACCACCTTTTGCCATCTTGGAGATCCCTTTCTTTTGCTTCACTTACAAACATTCCGTGTGTTGGGCAGAGCTTTGTCTTAGCACTTCTACGTATAACATCACAAGCCACTTAAACCCCATGAAGCAGATGAGAAAAGAAGCTGAGTTTTGTCCAGTGGGTGCAGGAGGTGCAGTCTCTGGGTGTGCTTCCAAGCAGTGCCACCGAAGCAATGAAGCACAAGGGTGCTGCAGTTGTGCTGAATGTCTCCTTGTGCTCCCATCTTGCTTAGAGTTGACAGGTAGCTTTCAGCTTTCCTGAGCTTTTGGGATGAGATTCTCCCAGTCCTTTCTGTTGTGTCTCCAGCTGTTAGGTTCGTGCCTCTGAAGTAGAAATGTCATGTCTTGTAGCATAGCCATCAGTTTGCCCCCATGTTGCATCTGAAGCGTGACTCATATTAATACTTCATTCATTATATGGCATTTCTTTTTTTTTTTAATAGGTTCTCAAAATAAAATAAGCTGAATTTCATTTAAAACCAGTCTTATTAAAGAATATATTCTGGTCCTAACACTAGGTTCCCCAGATACTCTGTAATTAGCATTCTTTAAGTACCCAGAATAGGACTGGGCATCGGGCTGTTAGTTTAATGATTTATTGATTAATAATTTTTGTATTCTGATGAGAGGGAACATTTTCTGAACTGCTGTTGGTCAGCATAATTCTGCAAAAAGATAAGAATATTCTTTTGGTACTACTTGTGTTTGCTCCTTAACCCTTGTGTTTCACTGTCCAACAGCACGCAGTCCATCACCTTTTGGCATGCATAGCTTTTGGGTTATAGAACTCTGGGTTGGCCCTATGAAAAGGTGAATTCTAACAGAACGTTGAATTGAGAGCAAAATGTAAATGCTTTTGTGCATTTTTCTGATATTTTAGGAAAGGAAGAAGGCAGAAAAGGATGATGGGAAGACCTGTAGCAATACAAAACTCCAACTGATCTAACTATTAAAAAAAAAAAACATGCTTTTTCCTCCCATTTTTTTTTTTTTCCTCCTTGCGTTAATGAAGTGTGCAGTAGTCTCTTTGTATAGGCTTGTGGATGAGGGACAAGAAATTGCTGTTGACCTAAAGCAACATGTAGTGGTGTGGAGTATAATCTGACAACTACTTACCATGCATGCTTATTTCTCCAGGTAGTTCTCTGCAATTTATGACTGAAAACATGAAAGTCAGAGTGGTTCAGTAGATTGCCATGAGCTATCTTCATGATTTAGAGGTCTCTGCTGTTCGTAGACTCATAGAATCATAGAATGGCTTGAGTTGGAACAAATGTAAAGCTAAGCTTAGGTATCTGATGGCAGAATCCCTCCTGCCTGGGCACTTGCACAATTCAACAGATGAAAACAGCATATTAACAGTTCAAATTGTTATATTTCAATACCAACTCATAGGACTTAGTCCCAAAGTATTGTGTGGTTGTAAGAGGTGATGCACTGTGTCACACCTTTCCTGTGTATCTTTTCAGTGGTGTGAGTACTTACTGGTATAGTGTGGTAAATGGCCAAAATGCCTCCATATCCTTTTCTCTGCAATGCATGTTGTGCTCATAGTGCATGCTATGCTCATAAGTCACCAGGACCGTGAACACAAATGTATAGCTGGCCTTTTTTGCAAAACCTCGTTGAAAGTGGTGCTGGATTCAAGGCTTGGTGTGGCCTGATTACAGCCAATTGCTCTCTCTTTGTCTGATTGCTTTAAAACTAAGCTGGGAATTTTTGCTCCAAAAAGAAATGAAACTCCTCCTTTCACTAGGCTCCTCAAAAAGCATGATTGGGTGTGGCTTTTTTTTATAGCTTTAACTTTGATTTTTTTTCATTAACAGCAGTTCTGTTTGTTGCAGAATTTAATCCAACGTATTGCCAAAGGCAGCAGTACGTTCTTGCCTAGGTTTTCCTCCTGCTTTGGCCCTTATCCTTCCCCTTGCCGAGCAGCTGCTCTGTGGCAGGTAGGAGCGTTCCAGGCCGGTTGTTGGGCACAAGGCACGGCGTTGCCCTGGCTGCTGCCCGGCAGCAGGAGCTGCAGGTTGCTGCCCGCCCGGTGCAGGCGGCAGGCAGGCAGGCAGCGGCGCAGCGCTCGGCACTATTAATATGCACAGCGTGGCGGCTTTCGGGGAAGGTTATTAGGATGCGGGTTCGTATCCTCCAGTGAATGAAATGATGTGTGATTATGAAGTCATCAGGCATGGACCAGTAAGGCTCGGGAGAACCCCCCCAGGTCCTCGGGGTGCCATTGATTGGTGACCATGTGTTTGTGCCCGATAGACTGTGAAATGGTGTGTTGCTCCACGGCTGTGCTGCACCTGCGCCCCACCGAGGTGATTGATTGGTTTGGTCATGTGGAATGTTCCCATCTGGTCTGCAGTAATGTGGTTTTTTGTTGACATTTTTTTTTTCCTTCCTTCTTCTTCTCTCCTATTTCCCCTTCATCTGCAAATAGCCAACGCTGGCAGGAGCTGGAGCAGGCGGTCGCAAAAGGCAGCCGAGCCTTTGCCTTTGGAACAAAGTGGTGCTGCTGCAAGTCCTCGTGTTCCTTTCATTTCTGCTAAAAGACCAGATAGGTCGTCCTGTGCTTGTGAGGGGGAAACAAACAAACAAGCGAACAAAAAAACCACCCCAAAAAAGCCTACAAAAGAATGCAAAGAAGCCGAGGGCGTCCCAGCCCCCCAAACCTGTCTGCTACGCACAGTTCTTGCTGCTTTACACAAGCACTGCAGTATTGTAATTAGATTACCAAAGTAGCAGTGCATGTGGAAGATCTTATTTAACCTCAGAAAAGTAGTGGTTTATTTATTGAAAACTACTGATGTTGCACTTTAAATGCCAAGAAATTATTTTAGTTCCTTAAAAAAAAAAAATTCTATAGTTACATTGGGCGGTCTTGTTTGATATTTCTTAATCTCACTCCTTTTTCATAATTGATCTATTCATTCCACTTAATGACTAATTACATATCAGAGCACATCATCAGCAGCATTCATCATTGTAGAATGTAATAATCAATGACATTTCAACAAAGGAAAAAATAAATATGCAAATAAGGACTCATTAACATTTGCATGAGCTGTTTGAATAATCACGTTGCTGACAAGGCTGTAATTAACAGAAATTGATGCTGAGTTCAGTATTTGATAGTGTGTTTTCTCAGCGTTTTATTGTTGTCACTGCGGGGGCTGGAATGAAGTTCTGCTCTGCTTGTACCTTGACTTGGGCTTGATGTGATGGGCTGTGCCAGGTAGCAGAGGCTTCTGGGAGTCCCCAGTTCAGCTCTGACCTACGCTTAATGCAGAGAGAGAGATTTCAGTTAAATGGCTGTATTGTTAGTGAAGGATTGTTGAATCCGTAGTAATTATGCAGCAGCTGAAGGGAGATTTTTTTCTCCAAAGTCAGGAAAACTAAAAATGATTTAAAAAAAAAAAAAACCAAACAACTGAGACTCTTTTACATGAGTCAGGCACTTTGAAACTATAGGATTTCTTACTTGTTCTGAAAATCAGGCATTGAGGTAGGGTTATGTTTTCTTATTTCATTTGTCACTCTGGTACAGCGTATCAATGTCGGGAGACTTGAGCTTTATTGTAATTGAAAATCACTTGCTAAGGAAAACGTTGTGTAATTATGAAACGTTACGGGCTCCCTCCCTCCCCTCTGATTATTGCAACTTTACTCCCCCTTCCCTCTTTTTCCTGAAGCTTCCTCTTTTTGTCATGGATATCAGCTGAAATGCACAAAACACAATAAAGCTGTTTATGTCAGTTTTTTTGGATGACTGTAAGTGCTGATTATAACAAGTTTAAGGAATTTCCTTTGTTGAGTGTGTACCCACGCCATATGGCTCAACATGGAACATTAACTTGACAGGGATAATGGATTGTGGTATATGGAGACAATTTTGCCTGCAGCTTCACTATAACTCATTCTGGTTGGGGATCACAAGTTTATAATATAGGATGCAGCAAACATCCAGATGGATTTGCTTTACATAAAAGAGTTGCAGTTCTTTTTATTTCCTGCTTGTAATTGGGGAAGAAAGGGACTTAAAAATTAAATAAAAAAAAAAAAAATCAGAAGTAGTAAACAAAGAATGGGTCTTATTCAGACAGGAAGAATCTCAGTGAAGCTGTGTGTTTATGTGATGTCTTGGATATACTGAAACATAGGTGGGGTCGTTACTTACGAACACACACGTGTGCAAGGTTTTTCTAATAATATCTCACCTGGCTTCACTTCACAAAGTATTTCAGCGTACCTCCACTTGTAGCAATACATGAGGCTCTGGGAGAATGTGGGGAAAAAAAGCTACTTGAAACAAGGCTCTGACTTTTCTTAATTATAGTGACTTTTGTTTTGATCAAAATGACCACTTCTCTGATTAGCATTCTGGTTCTCTGGCAGTGCTCTGACAGCACCCCGTGTTCTTTTAGAAAGAAAAAAAAAATCTTAAGTCTTCTGTGGCACAAGGCAGTAAAATACTGCTAAAATAGTTTCATTTACTTCAGTCAATGTCTTGTAAAATGGGAATTTTTCTAATGTCTTATTGTAACATAAATCACTATAAATCTGATGCTTCCTACTGAACGATTGGCATGCCCAAGTTTCTGTTCTTTCCCTAATTTTACAAACACTTGTACATCTAAGAGACTTGAAGCACACGTAATCCCATTAAGCACGTATGTAGCTGTTTGAAGGGCCGGGGCCATAAATCCATATTGAGAATTTCAAATAGAGCTGTGTGGGATAGCTTCAGCATTCCTGTACGCTTGTGGTTGACTTAAACTCCGAATAAAATGGGGTGTCTGAAAAGCAAGCATCTTCTGAATATTAGTTTGGGAGATTTATGTAAACACCAGCCTATAAATCTTTTGTAGTTGAGCTTCTTTATCCAAAATAGCTGCTGGTTTTTTTTTTTTTTTCGTTGAACCATTTTCACATGGGTATCAATTAGTTAATTATTTGGTTAGCTTTTAGGTAAGTACTTGAGCACATGGAGAGGACTTGGTTTGTGACTGGGGAAGAGGGTTGCTGGTTGCAATTATAGGTACTGTATGTCTGTCCAGCCTACATCTCCCATTGCTGACTTCATATGATGACATCCCAATTTAGTATCTTTAATCATCATCCTGAGTTTCAGAAGGTAAGCAGCCAGAAGGGTCTGCTTTTGGGAAGGGAGGAATAAAAAAGCATTTGCAGTTGACCTCTGAAGAGACTGACTTGGCTTAGGGTGTGAGGATTCTTTCAGGTTTTCATGCTGCAAATTATACTTTAAAAAGCTGTTCTGGGTTCATTCATCTTCCTCCTGCATGCCAGGCCCTGTGTGTGGTAATTGCTGCCAGGTGGGAATTTTCTGTGGACTTACAGAAATTGTTGCTTGCATTCTTATTATGGAAAAGTCCCTTGTTTTCTATTGCTGCTACATTTGTGGAAGGATAATATCAGGAAAACACAGGATATGCCTACAATGCTGTTGTTTAACAACAGCAACAAAAACCACAGGAAAACACCTGTTCCATATTTGAAGCATAACACTGTATCTGATGTCCAGTGAGCTGGTGGATCTTGTTCCTTTACGGCCCGCAGGCTGGAAAGCACTGTGACAGGGAAAGGTGCACCAGTGTTGCAGTCAGTTTGACGAATTTAAATCCATAGATAAGAGAATTCTTTCCAGGAACAGTAAGGGGAGCTGACTGTTTCTTCTTGGCTTCACGAGGAAACTAAAAGTCAAAGTCAGCAAGCATTTAATAAAATAGAAATGTTGAAGATAGCATTTGCGTTTGCTGTTGGCATTTATTACCCACTGAGGAGGTTCTGCAGGGCTGTATGTACCAAACAGCATGGTGATTCTTCCAGGTTGCAGTAATGCTTCCCTGCATCCAGTGAATGGTGCTCTGTGGTTTGTAAATACGGCTCAGCCTCACCTCGAAGGCAGGTTTGGGTGTAAAGAGCAATGAATTTTTGACTTTTGGTTTGCTCCTGTAATTTATTAATAACTGTTGCTATAGTCTTCCTATTACTTAACGGTTTTCGCTCCTATTACGTGTTTTTATGGAACTTGGTTGGAAGAGGAGTCTTTCTTCTTGGCAGAAGGAAATGCCTTTAGCTTATATTTCCCATCTGTTTATTTCTGGGAGCGCAGTGCTGGCGGTGCTGGGGATGGATGTGCCGTGCCGTGCGTGGGCTGTGCGTGGCAGTGCGGTGCGAGCGCGAGGGGACGGGAGGGGGAGCCCGCGGCACGGCTGTCAGCCGGGAGGGCAGGGCTGGGGGCCTCATCCTGCTGAGTTCCCTTCGTGCTGTTCCAGTCGTTCGGCGTGGAAGGCTCGTCTCCTCCTTGTCCTTGAGTGCGCGCACGCTGTGATCCGATTGCTTGAGGGGAGGGCACGCGATTGCTGCATTTTATGGCAAAAATGGAAACGTATTTCCGTCTGTACATTCTAAAGCGATTACTTTTTCCTCTTAAAATAGGGCTTCCCTTACGTTGTGAAATGGTTCTTGTTGACGTGTGAGGTTGAATTTTTTTTAAGCACCTTGAGTAGACTGAAAGATGAGTCACCGATCGCTCGGATCAGTCAGCAGCCCCCGCTGCGCTCTGAAGTGCACGGCTCACATTGTGCGAGCTGTCCCTGCTGAATTCGGCTCATTCATGTACTTGGAAGTACGTAAGTGCTTAATTGCTTTACTGAATTGGTGCCTAAAAATACTTTCAGTAAATGCGGAGAATTGTTTAGCTCCTTTTTTCAGCTTTGCGGAGCTGCGATTGAGTCAAGGTTTGTGCTAAACAATGTGAAAGGGTGAGTGACAGTGTACTTAAACTGAACCTGCGGCAGATAAGAGCTGTACAGCGTGGGGCAGGATCCAGCCATTCGCTAACAGAGGAGCAGACCGTCTCCTCGCCGTGCTTTTCGTTGTAAAAATCTGTCTGCCTCGGTGCTCTGTTAGGGGAAAGAGGCAGGCCTGAAGTGCTGATCCTTGTTTCTGAACTGCCAGATAACTTTTTCCATACACCGTCAGTCCCCTCGATGTTTGTTCAAAATTTCACTTGCAGCAGGTGAGTTTGAATTGCAGCGATGGGCAAACAGTTTGACATTCTTAGGCTGGAAACTTGATAGCCAGGCAGCTGCAACTGCTGCCTAAGTTGCTGATTCTGATTCTGTGCTTTATTCAGCAATTAGGAAGACTTCACGTTACTGAATCTGGAGGCTTTCATTTTGAGACACAGCACCATCAGGGTTTGAAATGTTTGAGCTCGGCAAGAAGGGACTTGTCTGCAAAGCAGTGAAATTGCGTTGGGGAAACACGGTGCCTCTGTTCACAGAGGCGGGCTGAGGTACACCGAGAGTGCTGTGAGCTGCAGCTGCATTTACCATCAAACACAGAGCTGGGGCCGATGAATGTTTTGTTTTTAGTGTCATGGAAACTGTGAGCCAAAGAATGGATATTCTATTCATCTGGGAAAATAGCAGTTCGCTGGGTAAAATAGCGCTTGCTTCCAAAGTGGTCCTTAAAATAGACTTTGTGAATGTGACCCTGAAAGTAAAAGTGCAGCCATGTAAATCACCTCAGTGCTACTTTGTTTTTGTATTAGAATATGCATGTGAATCAACATGGAAGTAGTGAGAGTTTTAAAATATAATTGCAGTGTGGAACACTCATCAATTCCGTGTTTTACAGTGCAATTTCAAATCTAAAAATGGAGAGATCTGCACATTTCAATAGCGGTTGTAATGCATTTATTACCTTTCTTTTTCAAGTGCTTTGCTATGAGTTTGGGTCATCATTCAGTATCGTTTGCTGTTTCATGCAGCATACCAAAACCCATAAAACTCACTGCAGAGAAGTGGGTGTTCAGGAGAATTCACTGCAGGCAGAAAAGGAAACACAGGACTGGGAGTTGCTGTGGAATAAACAGATATTTGTAGTACACAAGTATTTTTGTGGGTCAGCATGGGTATGTCATGAGGAATAATGGAATCCATTTATTTGGAAAGCCTAAATTCATTTGTTTTGCTTAAGTTGTGATGTTGAGTTAAAAATACGGAATTTGAAGTAAAGAGAAACCAACACAGGAACAAAAGTATAAAGTCATTACCCTGCCTGGGGGGAGGGGTGGGGAGGAAGGAAGCTGAGAGAAGGAATTGGAGGAGCTGAAGTGATTTGACTTAAGTGAGAGGAAGTGGGATGGATTTGCCTGCTGCAGGACTTCGGTATCAAGGCTCTGGAATGGATGAGATCATGTGCAAAATGGATGTGAGGCCAAGTGAAGGCAGTGGAAATCTTTCTGTTGACTTTTTTGCATTTCATGTTGGCCCATTCCTCTGGAATGCCTGTGTCCCTCTGGCTGGTGATCCTGCCTTCGAATGTATTAACTGCCTCCCCTAAAATGGGGCCTGATGCAGAGTCTTTGGGGTGCACTCTGGCTATTCCACCAGGCCACTGATAAAGACATGAAGCAGGACGGGTCCCATATACACAGTTGGTAATGACAGCATTACAGATGAAAGGTACTTGATAAATTGTAAATTTAGGTTGAGAGCTGCATGAGAAGTTAAATAGAAGCTTGAAGTACTGATGCTTAGATGAGTGACTCAAGAGGCAGAGGGAACACAAAGAAGACTTTTTTTCTAAGTGTTTACAGATGTTTAATATTAAGGAATAATGTGTAGTTCAGAATTTACAGCAGAGATGGAGACTAGATACAGAATGGGAAGGTGTTTTTGAAATAATTACAGGCTGTGTGTAAAAGTTTTCTATAGTAATACAGAGGGTCAGCAGTCTCCATTTTATAACTTAGGGAATTTAAGTGCCAGGGTTAAAAAGTGTAAAAAGATGCAAAAATTGAGTTCATAATTTCACCTTTTAATACCATTGTAAGTCTGGCTTTCATTTTGCATCTCTTTGAGATACCGTTATCCTGCATTCCTAATTCCAACTTAAACATCTGGGTTTTCCTATCCAGTGCCTGAGCAGATTCCCACTGGGATTTACAGTAGGCAGTATGCCTGTAGAAGGGCTGCTGAGGTTTGACAGCAGGAAAGTTTAGGATAATGTTGAAGCAACATTTCATAGGTAC